TTCATCTTAAATTTTATTTACTTTTAGATAAATTAGATCCGATGTTATCAAAACCATTTTATGACTTGAATCAAAAATAACTATAATTGGAATTAAAAGAAAATCTAAAGAGAATAATTAGTTTTAATAAAGGTTAATAGTATAAGTTATTCTTACACTCAATCACCTTTTATAATGAAGTGAAGTTTAAACTTTATTAAAGATACCTTTATTATATATAGGATGAATACTAGGAAAAGAGACCAAATTGTAAAAAAAATTTTTACAATTAGTCGCATATGTTAATTGAATAATGTAATATATTGAAGAAAATAATAAAATTCATTTGCATAATAATGATTTTGTTAAAATTAAAAAATTTTTAAAATAAAGATATATAATAGGGAATTTGGAATTTATTATTAAATAAGTTACACTGTTTTTTAAAAATTTAATGATATTTTATAATTATCATAAATTGTATTTTTTAAAAATAAATAGGAAGAGAGAGCTATACGGAGAATCAAGGACATAGACTAATCGTATTAAAATCAAATTCATGTGACTCAAAATATCCACCAGGTCTAAGAACTATAAAGGCCTCTCACGGAGATTTTGCATCAGACTATTGCATAAGAATCAAAAGTCCCATCTTCATACGTTAATTTCAACGCATCTCCCTTTGCAAAATTTGCATTAAGTGGTATTAGGTCTGACGGAAAATCGACATCAGGTCAATGCCCGTAAATTTGGATTTTGGATAACTTGATGACATCAAGTACCCAATAACCCGTACCGCAGCTAATATTTCAAAGATTCGGTAAGTAAATATAAACAAGTTTGAAACCATTTTACGCATGATCAAACTTACGCAACGTCAAGCACTTTTCCACCAGATGTAAGATTGCCGTGTACCGCTGCAGCAAAATTACATGATGTCGCAATTGCATTTGACTGACTAAAAAAAATAAGCCATGTTAATTCATCTGATAATAAACTTAAAAACACGAAGTTTTTATTACATACGTTCTTCACTTTCTTCTTCATTTGGCAAATCATAACGTTTTGATTATTATTATTATCTGGTGCTATTAAGTGCTTTGAAACTGCGGATTTAACTTTGAAATATTAGAAAGAAAAAAATTATTATTATCAAATTTGACCATATTAATGAAAGGTAAAAAAAAAATAATATTCGTTTCGACATTTAGACTTACTTTTTATGACCAACAATATACTAGAGCTTGGACCAAGCTCAATAAATTTATGAACCGGTATGTAACTGAATATAGACCGAAAAATTAAAAATTAATGATATATTATTATTCATAAAACTTTATCTCATAAATCGAAAAAAAAAATATATACATACCAAATATTATTTATTATAAAAAATTTTTCAGCAAGTTTTTTTTTTTTTTGCATTTTCCAAATTTTCATATGATGTAAAACTCAGAGATAGTAAACCATTTTAGTTGAGCGATATTTATGAGATATTGACAATTAAAAAGAATTCTTATTATATACACGTGGATAATCATTTAATTAAAGTTCTAAGCCGCCGGTTAAATGAATGACCGGAAAACAGCCATAAAACCGGTCTTTAAGACGATTTTATAAATGACGTAGCACAAACATGGTGTCGCGTCTTTGATTGAAAAGCTTTTTATAAATTCGGCGAGATGCAATGTCAATTATAAAATTTATTAAATACAATATTGGTGATATGAGTTAATATTTCGATAGAAAAATTCTTCCTATATTTTCACGAGTATAAAATAATCAATGAACGCTTCAATAAAAAGTTTAAACTCACCGAATAACAAGTAAAAGGAACACAATATACAAGTATTGATTTTATAGTATAGTAATTATCATACTATTTAAAGGTTTGTCTACACGTTATTCTATAAAATTACAGTCGTCAACATTTAACACACTGTAAGTTTTTTTTGTTTTCATCAAATATTTAGACCTCACTAATAGTATAAAATACTTCCTTTCCTCAAATCAATCGTTTTAGCAGGCATCAATGATAAGGATTTGAAAATAGGTCTTTTTTCATTGTAATTACAAGAAGATATTATCATCGAAGATTAATTATACGAGATAATGGTATGAAATAATGATTATTTGACAAGTTAACATCTATAATAACATTAAAGAGATTTAAGGCAAATGAAGATCTGACGGAAGAAAAACAGCTAATTGGGTGCAATTGTTATGTAGAAGAGTCATGAATTTAATTATATTGGGTTCCAGCGCGATGCATGATTCATATGGATTATTTAAGGTATTCAAGTATTAATTAATATGGGCGAGATAATTGATAACTTTCCTCAATAGTACCTTATTTAACTACTCAAATAGAACAATCTTAAACATCACTGATAATTATCAAAGAATTGATTTATCTCAAATCATATATGGGCTTGTTATTTAAAATTCAATATTATCTTTTATATGCATTATATATTTTAATATCATAATTTAGATGTTTTTCTGATTTTTTTATATCTTTTTTTAAGATAATCATTATTTTTCAATTATTTAAATTTATTATAAACATTATTAAAAAATTTTATATTTTTAATTAAATTTTAAGTATACTCTAATTTTATAAATAAATTACTAATATTATAATAATAATGATAATAGATTTAAAAGGTTTAGGTAAAGGTATTTACATTATAGTATAAGATTTTATATATTTTAAAAATATTATTATATTTAAATGTTTACTTTTAAGATCTATATATTAATTATAATGACATTTCAAATATATTTTTTTATTATTTTTACTTTTAAATATCTTCAATTTTTTTTATGTGATTTTGTATGAAATATAATATTAATAGTATAAAAAATTGCATATAAAGATATTAATAATTTAATTTTCTGTAAAGTGAACTTATAAGTCAAATATTAATATAATACTATTCTTAATATAATTGAAATAATTAAAGTGTATTTTTTTATATAAGTAATTTTTTTTAGATTGATTATAAAATTATTAAAAAATTTTAATAAAAAGTTGGAAAATTATCATTATAACTTTTAATCACCATCAAAAAATAAAAATCAAAAAAATTCACAGAATCAGATTTTTTAGCAATTTTCTCATATTATTAACAATCTTTATAAAACTTATATGATTATATTTAAAAATTAATTTGACATATTAATTCAAAAATATTTTTGATTTATCAAATAAAATATAAACAAATTATTCTTTAAATTTTTTTATTAGCGTTATATATATTCTTGTGAACCGTTAAATAAAATAACATTTTAAAAAATTGTGTCTCGTGAATTTATTTGAACTGATTCAAAAAATTATTAGTTAAATAACAAGTTCAAAGATATGTCATTAACATTAAACCATTCCTTAAGACGATATTGCAATCTTGATAATATTTTTCATGGGATACATTCTATGCAATGCGATGTAGCATTTCCAATGAGAACATCAATAGAAGAGTTGTAGTGTGGACGAGAAGCTCTAGGCATATTTTTTTGAGTTGTTCTACTGTCTACCTATTTACTTGTTCAAATTCCGTCAGCTAATATATTTATTTTTTTTTGATTTAAATAAAGATATCTCCGACATATTCTTTGATTATATAAAATTGAAATAAACAATTCTTACCTACTAAATTATTACATTATTTACCCTAGCATTTTACTGTACAGAAACTTTTAATAAGTTATAAAATTCAAATGGTTTAAAGAATTACATGAGCAAGTTGTCGTTCATATGCAGGAAACTTGTTTTTACAAACAAATTTGGACTTGATGGATCATGTTATGTAAATGTCTGCGATACTTTCTACACGATAAAATAAAAATAAAAAAGATTGATTAAAGAGGAAAAGTTGCGCTTTTGTAACATGATAGATAGGTCGTTATTAGCAGTTCTTTTTTTTTAAGTTTAACGAATAATACGAATAATACAAAGAATTTTTTTAATTGTTATTACAGAGATAAATTTGGCATGAGAAGTAGAAAGCAGAAAATAGATGGAAGATTTCAGCTTATTGTAACAATGATAGGTTTTCGCGCCCGATAAACATTAAATATAAAGTTCATACAAAATGATTCTTCATATGACAGATTCGATTATCAAAGTTGAAATGATTATGTAAATACATGAAAATAATTTTAAGGGGAAACAAAATAAAGTTCTTAAATTCAATTTTTAAATATTATCGTTTTGTAAGTAGTATAAAAAAATTTATAACTGTATCATCCTTAAATGAAAATGGTTACAATAATTTAGTGGACATTTCAATTACAAATAGAGGAACAACGAAAAGGTTCATACGTGATAATAATTACCAAAATAATTCACCACAATAAGGTAAATAGAACTTATATTAGAGTCTGGACGCAAAGATGATGAAATGTTGTGAATTCTTTGCGGTAAATTCTGAATAGGATAAAAGCTGTAATAAATAAGAATCATTTAAATGGTATGGTTTAGCTCTGAACAATACATATGCAAGAAGGAAATTCTTATACATTCATGTTCTGGCTAGAATGGTCTTATTTAAACTTTAATTGAAATTACTTAACCAGTTGACGTGTAGTTAAGTAGTTCTCATATCACCAATCTGAACTTTAAAATACTCCAATTGATTGGTTCATGTGACCGTCCGTATATAATTTTGTTCTTTCCATATTTAGACATAATGGGAGATTGATTTGAAGTTAGCGCATTCAGTGCGTTTCACAATGCTCTTTATTTTATTCGATTATATTCTATAATATTATGTGTATGCATTAATATAATTTGTTCCTTGTTCGTGTTCGTCCTTTTTTTTTTTTTTTTTTTAGAATAGATTTTAATATAATTAAAAAAGAAAGTTAATCGTAAAATTATTATAAATATGACCAGGAATTGACCTTCCCTATCATTTTAATCCAATATTACCTACCTACTACGACATTTCATTCCGCCGTTGCTATCTGACCCATATTTTCAACTCAAACCCAATATAAAAAAAAACCACCCTATTAAAATGGAATCTAGGTAGGAGGTCTTTTTTCTTCCTCGCATAAAAATTACATAAACTTTTCATCAGTTATTAACACTTTTTATATTTAGCAATGTAAATCGAAAACTTCAGCTTGAGGTTGTCCAACAACCTATCCATGCAAGAATGAGCGGGCTTGGGGAGGATAAGGTAAAATAAATTTTCAAATTTCATCTGCAAAAAAAACATTTATACTTAGTTAACAATAATTAAAATAATTAAATCATTTCAGGGAAGAAGACCAATCTCCCCATTACCATTCGTACGGTTACGAATCCTTGATGGAAGTACCCCAATTAACATCGATACGATTGACGCTGGTCTCCTCATCTTACAAGCTAGCTTGTACGATTCTCAGACAGGTCTCGAGGTTACGTCGGCGAACCTCATCGGAGAAAAGTTCGTAAACGGCCAAAAGTTAGAGGATACCTCGGGTAACCTCGATATTTGGTTCGTTTTTAAAGATTTGAGCGTTAGGTCGGAAGGGCAATATTTTTTTGAATTTAATATGATATGTATTGGCTGGTAAATATTCTCTCATTAATTTACATCCTAATAAATTTTTCGTAATAATAAAATTTTTGATCAGAGATTTACTTGAATTTATATTAATTCCAGGCAGGGCGGTTTAAATTTGGGTTCAATGCCTATAAACGTGCTAGAATCGGTGCGTTCCAATGCATTTACAGTATTTACTCCCCGGAAGTTTCCCGGAATGATCGGTATATATAATCCTACCATTATTTTATCCTTGCTTTTTACATTTTGACAGTAGATACAGTAATTTGATCAAATTTCTATATTCCATTTTAGATGTGACCCCATTGTCCCTTTGTTTTGCAAAGCAAGGGAATAAAATCCCATTTCGTTCAAATAGTACTTAATTTGTGATTTGGGGATTTAATTTAGTTTTTAAGTTTTTACGTATTTTTTTTTTTGTTATTAAACATTTTTTATATGTTATAGTCATATCTTAATTAATGGTTGTCTTTCTAAATTTGTAAAATCAATATTTATTTAAATAAACAAATTTAATGAAAAGAACACTTTCAGAAAATTAAAACGCATATCAATCATATCACCACTTGTATCCGTAATAGCTGAGCTGGTTGCCATTTGTTCTTCTCTCCATTTGCCCATATTTAAACAATCTATTACAGCTAAATGAAACAAATAAGCACATAATATTATCAATTTAAATTAGGATTTTGGGATATACAGTCAGAACTCGTTAAAACGACTTTTCTGCTTTATATTTGAACTTATAAAAATAGTTATATAAATTTTGATAAACTGAATTTTTTTAAAAATTTCATAGTAAACCGGAGAGTTCGTTATATCGTTCTGACTGTCGGATCATATGATTACTATTGGCAACGTTCCCTTATAATAATATCGTTCGCGTCGGTGTTTTCTACTTTTTTCACCTCGCGTGAATTATTAAAATGTCATCTGTGTCACCCAATTGTTTGGAACTTTGTGGTGATAATATCTTTTTCACAATCATTAAAATTTCGTGAGTAAAATTTTATTTATAAAAATTGTTTGAAAAGATAATTTTAAAGCAAAAA